TGTGGCCCCCTGCTGGACCGGGGTGGCGGGGCGGGTGGCAGGGCGGGGGCTTCAGGCTGGGGAGGCGCACAGGCTTGGAATGGAGCTGGAGCGGCCTGCCGGTGGCTGCGCTTTTGCCTCTGCCCAGGGGACAGCCTGGGCTGGAAAAGGCAGGGCCAGCGTGTCCGGAGGCTACTGCAGCTGCCCAGGTGTGGTGGGGCCTGTGAGCATGGGGACAGAGCCCGCGTCGGGTGACAGGCCGCGTGCCTGCTATCCGGAGGGAAAGGCTAGGGCAGCAGGGCCGAGCCCGGGCCTGAGGTCTGGGGCGAGAGGGCCTCACGGTGCAGCAGGTGGCCCTGGGCCTTGGGAGCCACCTTCTCCCAAGCCTGGGCTGCGAAGGCTGAGAGGCGGGAGACTCCCATGGAGACAGGCAGAGGGTGACCAAGGGCAGACTGAGCCCTGCTGGCCCTGTCCAGAAGTCAGGCTGAACGGAGCAGGCCAGGGCAGGCGGCGTGGGAGCTGAGGACTGAGCGCCAGGACCCGGCCCCCAGGCCACGGGGGTGGGGGTGGGGGTGGACCCCGAGCCTGAAGGGGCTGGAGGTGGGAAAGGGCAGTGGTTGTGGAGGGCCGCCCCGCCAAAGCAGGTGGGAGAGCAGCGTGAGGAGCACGTCCCCAAAGATGGAGACAGCCAGGCCAGCCCGGCCTGCGGGAGCTGGGGCAGGACGGGGGGCGGGGTTCTCAGCCTCTGCTGCACCCTCCCTTGTTTGGGGGTGCTCTCTGGGGGTTGAGACACACCCCTGGTGCCGGTAGCTCCCATGCCTCCAGTTGACAGCAGACAGCCACTGTCTCCAGGCACTGCTGGGGCCCCAGTGAGCCCCACTCGCTGTCTGGAAGGAGAGAAGGTTCACTTGCGGTGGCCATCCCGTCCAGTGGCAGGTGTTGTAAGAGCAGGCGGAGGTGGACATGGCCGAGGCTGCAGCCTGGCCGCGGGTGTGAATCCGAGTGCACTGAGGCCAGTGGCTGGCCGGGTTTCCCCGCGGCCAAAAAAGCGGGTGTGAATCCGGGTCCACTGAGGCCAGTGGCTGCCAGGTTTCCCCGGAGTCTCTGCAGAGGTCGCCCACGGCATTTAAGCTGGGTAAGGGGGACGAGAACCCCTGGGGCGGAGGGTGCAGAGCCTCCAGGATCCAGCCGTGGAGTCTGTGGACCTTGGGAGTCGAGGACGCCAGCTCCTGGGAGGAAGTCCTAGAAGGCTGGGTCGAGTGGGTAGTAGGTGGTCCAGGCTGGGCCGTGCACTGCTTGAGTGAGAGTGACAGTCTCGGGGCACTGCAGGCTGTGCGGCCTGTCCACGGGGGAGCGTCAGGAAGGAGGCCAGTGTGTAGGACACGCCACCTGTGGGGTGGCGCAGTCCTGAAGGCAGTGCTTGGCCTGGGACCACACCCAGCCTTTGCCGACCTGCAGCCTCCCAAGGAGAGTGACCAGTTGTCCCAGTGTGCGGGGACCTTTGTGTCTGGGCAGCAGAGGCCGGCGCCTGGCCCACCTTGGGGAGGGAGGTCCCCTGCAGTCTAGGTGGCCCCTACACTGTGGTTCAGGGTTGAGGTAGGTGTGCGGCTGCTGGCGGAAGTGAGGACCCGCCACCCGGCCCCTGACCCAGAATCCCTCCCCAGGTGTGATGGTCGGCTCCCACGCAGACATGGCTCCCACCCCCGGGCCGGAGAGAAGCCTGGGCCAGTGGCCCCCGCCCCCGCGGCCCAGTATGAGTGCGGGGAGTGTGGCAAGGCGTTCCGGTGGTCCTCCAGGCTCCTGCACCACCAGCGCACGCACACGGGCGAGCGGCCTTACAAGTGCCCCGACTGCCCCAAGGCCTTCAAGGGCTCCTCAGCCCTGCTCTACCATCAGCGCGGCCACACGGGCGAGCGGCCCTACCAGTGCCCCGACTGCCCCAAGGCCTTCAAGCGCTCCTCCCTGCTGCAGATCCACCGCAGCGTGCACACCGGCCTGCGCGCCTTCACCTGCGGTCAGTGTGGGCTCGCCTTCAAGTGGTCGTCCCACTACCAGTACCACCTGCGGCAGCACACGGGCGAGCGGCCCTACCCGTGCCCCGACTGCCCCAAGGCCTTCAAGAACTCTTCCAGCCTGCGACGCCACCGGCACGTGCACACGGGCGAGCGGCCCTACGCCTGCGGCGTCTGCGGCAAGAGCTTCACGCAGAGCACCAACCTGCGGCAGCACCAGCGCGTGCACACGGGCGAGCGGCCCTTCCGCTGCCCGCTGTGCCCCAAGACCTTCACGCACTCCTCCAACCTGCTGCTGCACCAGCGCACGCACTCTGCCGAGCGCCCCTTCGCCTGCCCCATCTGCGGGCGCCGCGT